TCAATAGGTCCTATCTACATTGATCGATTCTCTTCATCGACACTCTCTTTCGTAAATAACTCGGCTTCACAAATCTGGATCAACAATAGAAAAGAGCCCATCAGCATTTGTAAATAAACCGTTCCAAAGCCCTTTACTCACAAAGCGAAGGCCACCCACACAAACCAACACCATCATTGGATAGGGGAAAACTTCTACCTACAAGATGTTGGTGTTGGTTTGTGTGAGCGGCCTTCGATTTGTGAGGCTTTGGAACGGTTTGTTTACAAATGCTGATGGGCCCTATTCTATTGTTGATCCAGAAATGTTTCCTGCCGTCTTCGTCGAATTAGATGCTAGATTGTTGCTTCTTCCATCGAAAATATCCGCCCGTGGCGATTCAAAGTTGATCAAGGTTGATCAAAATAATTTGTATCCCTGCTTCCAGTTTGATTACATGAGCATTTTGTGTGGTCGGTGGTTCTGAATATGGACAAGCAGGCAGATGAATTCTATTCCTACTCTTTACTGTAAAAAGCTTGGTGGCCCTGAAAAGAGCCGTTTTGTTTCCAAAGTTGGTGATGATTTAACCTCCGAAACCAAACAGAGTGCGTCTATGTCACTTCAAAAACGTAGATGACATCCATGGCCGCTTACGCTTGGCGTGTTTAGTGTAGGTGACAGCATCACGGATCTCATTTTTCAGGAACACCTTCAGCACACCTCCTAAATCAGACCGGAGATACGTCAGACACCGCCACGGCGAGCCAGACGACGGATGGTGATTATCTCGAAGAATTTGCGTTTGGTTCTGAACATGGCGATGAGTGTGTAAAATATTACGCAATTCCATCCTCCCTATTCGCACGCGCCCGAGGATCGGAGGCGAATGCCACTTCGACTTGTTTCGTCTACTTACTACTCTCTGATGACTGTGCTGGGGAAGCAGCATATTCATGCAGGTAATTGGTGGATTTGTTAGTTAATTCGACGCTTTTGGACAATGCTGGACATTTACCAGTTTTTCAATAGTTTCTTGTTGAAAATCAACATTCAATGCGTAGCTATATTTCTGATCGATTGGTGATAAAATTATTGAAATTGGACCAGGGGCAGCTGAGTTATAAACGTTCAAAATCTTTCTTAATTTGTTACATGTTCCATTTTCGGTTTTCACAAAGTGTACCCCCATATAGAAATCGAAGACGTAGTCCTACGTCAAAAAAAAAACTACTTATCATGGTTTGCAAAAAAGGAAGAAAAAAAGCTGGGCTCGAATAAAAAAAAAACAAGCTATGTTCCTTCTTCACTCCAAATGTACAGGCCCAGGCTTCCGGAAATCTCACGCGTACACAAATGTGACAGCGAGCTGTGAGACGGAGCGTCGCATGACTCTCAAATCCATGGTGTGCTACATTAATTGTACAAAAGAGAGACCAGAACTAAGCGCGCGACAAGCTACACGCTCTCAACAAATTCAAGCGTTTCATTTTTTTTTGTCTCATCGCATTGCTCTCTCAATGCGACGCATGTATTCAATCACATGCGACTGTTTCGTTGAAACATCTCAATGCGGCTCTCTCAGGGCGCCATCGCCGTGCGCTGTTTCGCATGCCTTTTTTTTCCTTTATTTAGCACGTCGGTCTCTGTTCCGCAATCTAGTGCCAGCCAATCACCGACGGACATCGATTGCCATCCATTGACGGCAACCGAATGTGCAGGAAGGCAGCTTCCACACCTGCGTAGGTATCGCACCCATTCACATGGGCCGGGACCAACGGCTTTACTTCCCTTCCAAAGGAAGACGTGACCAGAGATTTTTATGCCTCAGAAAAATCCCACCGACCTCGGCTGGGGATTGAACCCAGACCTATTGGGGTGTTAGAAAGCAGCCATGCTTACCACTACACCACCGGCGCCGGCTGTTTCGTATGCCTTGACTCTCGCGTTCCCATCATAATATGATATATATGACATATTATGTGATGTTGTCGGGTGACGAGAGAAGGGACTGCAAGGGTTTGTTCATAGAAGACTTGTGTGCCCTTTTCGTATGTGTCTTTTGAAATGGGGTGAAGTTTTTAGATGGTTCCAGATATATCTTATAGTATAGATTCAAGCAGACTCAACACATGGTTCCAGAGACTGGAATCACCGTAAGATCACCACTCATGATCCTAGGAAGACGCAATGGCTTGTCGAAAGGATGCTAAAGGATGGTAAAGGAAGACTACGTGAGCGGTGGATGGCAACCTTACGGTAGTTGGGATACCGTTAGCATGTTAGCACCCCAAATAATACCGTAATATATGTGGAACTATGTGTCCTTCAACAAGTCCTTATGCGGAAATCTTCTAAAATACATTTTTTGGGAGCCTCTGAAGCTTTCAGCCCATTTGGTGGAAAAATATTAGACTCAGAATCCAGTAAAAATATAAATGGACGATTTTGAATGTAAAATAGCACTACATTATACTATACAAGATCATATAGTCGGCGTTAAGTCAGAAGGGACTAAGTAGCAAAATAAAAACAAGAAATGAGTTAATGATATCATAAGATCAAGAATTCCTTTCACTTTTTCAGCCAGATTTGAAAAATTAGAGTAGCAAGAGAAAACGGTCAAATGATTACATAAGACACAAACAGCCCACTTTAAATTCGTTTTTCTCGAAATCAAAAAAAAAATCACAGTTCGGTCTGACTTGACCGATCATATCAACACGCTAGTAATGATAGAACTCTGAAGATTAATATTTGTATTTTGTCTGGCTTGAGTGAACACTATTTTAAGGGATTATTTTCAACGCAGTAGTTTTGCTGCAAAAACGTTGGTGGTGACTTCTCATTACATACACACAAGTCTACTTAAAAATTAACCAAGTTTAACAAGTTGTAAATGTGTTCTGCTATGATCAATTGAGTTGAAATTTTGACACAAAACTAGCTTTTCCATTGACCTTTGTCCGATCAGCTATGCAGGTGCTTCAAAAAATTTGGTATTTCTTACACGTGAAATTCAACATATTTGTAGTTTTGCGTCAAAATTTCAGCTCAATTGATCATAACAAAACACATTTACAACATGTTAAACTTGGCTAGTTTGTATGAAAACGACCTTTGTCCGATCAACTTTGCACCACAGTGTACGTAGGTACGAAATGCTGGATTAAGGTTAATGTAATACATTTAGGAAAAAGTTGTGTCATATCTGTATTACGGATTGTTGCTAAGCTTCTTGCTTCAGGAATTGTATTGAATACCTGTCAATCAACAAAACTTACTACGGCAGCAACTGAATTCTTCAGATGTGTTAGGGTAAACGCTCCTATAGTTGCGATACGTAAGAAGCGTTAGGTTCCTATAGTTGTGTATTGAGTCTCCATACACAACTATAGGAACCTAAAGGCCGGTGCACAATGCATACGTTTTCAGGTTTTTTGACATGGCATGGGCTAACTGTCAAAAAACCTGAAACATATGACAACATTAACGCTTAACGCTTCTAACGTACCGCTACACGGGAAAAAATCATCATGAATAATATTCATGATATCATGAGCAACTTTTGCGTAACGCAGCAAATATTCCCAAAATCATGAATCATCCGAGTTGAAATCATGAGCTAAATTCATGGGTTTAACTTTTAACCAAAAAATGCAAAAAGAATTAAATAAAGCATCAGACTGGATTCGAACCAAGAACCTTGAGATCACTAAACCCATACTTTCACCAGTAGACTATCAGCACTTGTATAAGTTGGAAGACAAAAGGCGTATAAGAGATACCTATGTAGTGCGGTTTATGGAAACGGTTTGCCAAGTACGTGTAACGCTTGTAGCGGTCTTGATTCCACTGCATTATGAAATCATGAATTTCCATGACGAAATCATGAATCATTGTTACGATTTCATGGGATGGCAAGTTTTTTTCATTTCATGATTTTTTATTCATGAAAATTGAATCGGATTTTTTCCCGTGTAATAATGGAGCGTTTACCCTAGTGCTCACAGGATAGTTCATATCAGCCACCATGATGCTGAATTGAAACAATCAATTTGCGACAACAGATTTCCAAAAAGTCCTAGTGTTAGTACCGTGGACCCTCGGTGTACATTTCGTTTACCAAAGCCACATCTCTTCCTTCGTTCGTTGTGAATGGGCTATTTTTCAAGTTAATCCTTTAATCAACGAAAATTGCCGCTAGGAAAACTTTGTTGGTCATAACCATCCGACACCTCTTCTCCATAAGAGTGTAGTAGCTAGGTCGCTTTCCATCGTTTTCAGAACAAAACAACACTTTTCCCACATCAAGAACACGAGTTGGTCTTCCAGTTGAGTTTGTTATTTCGATGTCGCATTGAGACGTCGCTTAGCGCGACGTCGCATGATACTCGTTCTCACGCGACGTTACATGATACTCGTTCTCATGAAACGCATACATCCGGAAATGTGCTGTGCTTACAAAACAGTGCGACACACTAACATTATGAGAATGTGAGATGCGACAAAACTGAAGATAGAGAGAAACAGAGTGCTACAAATCTCTTGCGCATGAGACTGCTATGACTATGAGACTATTCGTATTGCGTATCGCATACGGTAGCGCGCACACTGGAAGCCTGTGTGCAGCACTTCGATTCTGTAAGTACACACCAAGGTACGCACTTCACCTATTTCTGCTGCTCAAATATTCTTCTTTCACCACTCTTTCATCGCAGCAGGAAAATAAGGAAATCGATTCTTCCGTGAACTATTCCGTTTTCCCTTTTTCCGTCGCGTTGATAAACTTGATTCTTCTTCCATTATATAAAAAAAATCACCCGCAAAAACTAAAATTTTAGAAACAGAATAGCAACAACAAAATGGCTGATTCCTCGGCAATAAAAATATTTAAATAAAAATAATTCTTTTCTGCTGAGTGTTCAGCAGCCTGGCAGGATCGCCAATGTGCAAATCCCGCTGCCAGAGACCTGCCATTTTACCGTAGGTTTTCCGGTATCCCAGAATGCACGTCTTACCTTCACCGCTTGCCAAGATACGAAAGAGAATGAAGCCTCGCGCTGCGTGGTCTGGTGAGCTAATGCAGGGTCAGGCGGCCAATCCGTATGTTGTAAGTGTAAAGCACGGTATATACAAAGTGGGACCGAATGTAAATAAGCGAAGGATTGCGGATGTATCATCCGAGCTGTCACACGAACCCACACAAATACCAAAAACTTTTAAAAGCTGATCGTGTTGTAGTTTCATTTTTAGAACTGTCGAGTAGTTTGAAACAATTTTGAAATATAGCATTGCAAGCGGCCTCAGGAAACGGTTTACGTTAGTCATGAAGTTTCACTCACTGAGTTGCACGACTGATTGCACCGAACAATTTGAACGAATTGAATTTCAGATACATATTGTAACTTCCACCTAAAATTCTTCTTCTTCTTCTTGGCTGTTACATGAAAACTAGAGCTTTACACCTGCTCTCAACCTTACGTGATGAACTAGTGCACGGTTAAAAATCACGATAATAAAGAAAAAACAAACTGTCCTTAACTTATTGTTCTATGATTAGAATATTGAAACTCACATTCGACAATAAAAATTTCTCGAAGCTTCGGCACATCTTTGGTTGACTGGAGACAGTTTTTTAAGTTAATCTACCCGGTAAAACACATGTACTTGCACGAACGGTTGGCTTTCTACTAGAGTGACCAAATTTTATCGGACGTATTTATAGCACTGGCATATAAATACAAGCATATCTCGGGTACACTTGGCTTATCTTTCACAGATACGTGTATTTCGTCTACTACTTGCAGACTTCATCAGTGCCAAGTACTCAACACCACTGTGTTGAAACTAAGTAAGGGTTCCGATTCGTATTCCCCATCGGGATCCGTATTCGGTTTCCCCATTGGGATCCGTTTACGGAACACTGAAAATGTATTTTCGTTATTTCTCTGAAAACCGTTTCGTAAAAATTAATATCGTACATACAACACAGCTTTCATAAATGGTACAAAACATTCGTTTTTCCTGTCATCTGGCGCAATGCCAATAATTACTTCAACTTTAGGAGTCAATAAGCGCACTTATACGCCTTATTCGTATAATATACAAATACATCTTCGTACAATCAAACCATCAACTGCGCCTATTGACTCCTAAAGTGCTGATTGTGTATTGGAGATGGGAATTTTTTTTTAGAAATATTATCGATTGGACCATTACATACAAGGTACCACAATAAATCAAATTACTCGTCGTGGTGGTTTTATGTTAGAGAAAAAAAATACATGCAAGCAGCAGAAAAAGCAAGCGAAATCGAATTACCGTTCCATGAGTGGTTCTTATTTGATTTTAGCTTTACCTTTTCTCATAGCACTAATAGAGCGATAGATGATGCACAGATCTTACAATCGCAAGGTTCATTAGTCGAGTCCGGTCTGAAGCCTATTTTTATTTTTTTGTCATATTTATTCCAGGCTTCCAGTGCGCGCGCTACCATATCACTATGGGGCATTTTCATACAACCAGGCAGTCAAAAATATTTCTATTTTTCACAATTACTGCTATTATTCTTGCTTTGTTTCATCAATATAAGGTGTGCGTTATCACTTTTCAACATTTTCACGACCAACTTTTGAAAAGGGCCTAACTTTTGATTAAATAAAATTTAATTTTTACGATTTTATAACAGTTACAGTTTCAAGCTTGTTTTCAGAGAATAAAATCTATTGAACAAAAACAACCTACCATGGTTTTATTGGGGGGAACACCGTTAAAAATAAAAAAAACCTTTTTTTTTGGAAATATGTTTATTTCTTTCAACAAATCTTCTGTAAAAAAAATACAAAAAGCCATGATACAATAATCAAAATCAAATATGTTTCAACGAATTTCTTTTTATTCCTCTGTTACAATATCATCATGAACAAACTCTTCTTCAATTTCATCGACTGCTTTCATAAGTTCCTCCAAGGCATTGAAGTTATTAGTATCGACTACTGAATCACTTACAGAATTTTCAAATATCATGAAACATTTCACGATGTCGGGATAATCCAGGGATACTTTTTTCTGTCGTCTTTTTGCCATCCAAATGGAACTGATCAGTGGGTCCAATTCATTAATGACACGAATAAAGACATCATGTAAATTTTCTACTCTTGATCGTTTTCTTGCATGATGGGTTCGATATTTTTTCAATTGTTTATGTTGACTTTCTGCTGCCTCTTCCGCTAATTAACCAAGTGGTGCTGGTAAATGTATGATTATTTCTCCGGTATGAGCGAGAACTTTATGCACGGTTGCAGGAATTTTGTACACAATTCATACAATTTAAGATAGAGCCTATATGTTTCCTTGCAATATGCATCAAATTTTTCCGGGTTTATTGGCTCTTGGCAGTTAATAGCAATTAATATATTCCGGAATCTGAAAATTAACTCTTCATCAATGTTCAGCACGGAGCTTAAAAGCTTGGGATTTCCAAATGCTCTTCGACAAACGTTTCCTGTGGTACTGGTACCTGCTCCACCCGATCGTGGTTAATCTACTCTTACTCCAAATTTTTCGTAAAGCTGTGTCGTCACATGTTTTTTTCTTTGTTCATATAGTTCTTTGAATGGTTTCGGGACCTTCCATTTTTTGATATCCATTCTGTATGCAATATGCAAAAGGCATTCGAAAAATCTTATCCAAGCATGAAGTGGAGATATTCCGTAATGCAAGGCTTCTTCGTTTGATATAAATTCTTCCTCGAATTTCTCTGCATCATTCATTACATTTGGTGTTGCCCCACATATTGAACAATTCTGCATCGACGAATTTCCAGTGATATAAGTTAAGACTTTTCCGTCTATCATACTGAGGACAAAATCAAAATCAACAAGTATAAACATGTCGTTTGAGAGTTCAATTTTCACTGACGTTAGTTCATTCATTTCTTTTTCTACATCCTGTTTTGTAGCCAGAATAACTTCTTTACTCTCTTTAATGAATTCAAGGATGAATGGCCTACAAAATCGAATACTTTGAGGCATGGGATTAAACCACATAATTTCCTTTCGATCATTGTACACATGAACAACAGAATTGGTGTTAAAGTGGACGAAAATACATCTGAATCGTCCTGACATCCTTCTGGTAGCACTTGATGATATTGCGAATATCCAGTTGATCCGTCCATACCCCAGCTACATAGAAGAACCAGTTCCGTAGAAACTAGATCGTTGCTATCCATATACTCGTTGAGCTCTGCATCAATTATTTGGACGATTCGTTTCACTGTATTTTCCATCAGCGCCTGTAGTTTCACTCTTATTTTCAATGCACTTTCTTCGATGAATTCACTAGGAGGGGCGCATATTTTTTTCACTGCTCCGATCACATAGTAAGGTGGAAATCTTGAACGTGATTCACTATGTATTACTTCGTATTGAAATCTACTCAATCCAGCCTCGATAAGTACACTAAAAGCCTCTTCTGGTGACATCATTCCTCGTTGATCAGTTAGTTGAGCCAGCATGGTTTTAGAGCTTTTTTGGTTTTTTAAAATATGCCCAATAACTTTAACTAAATTCAAATCCTTTCTATTATAAGCGGTCCGTCTTGCAAATAACAAAGCTTTCTCGATGGTATCGAATTTTGGATCAACTGCTTCTTTATCGATGACGCGACGTTTTCCTCTTTCACTCAAATCCAAGAAAGGTTTTGAAGGTCGTCCACGTTTTGTTCCCGAGGCCGAGGTTGAGGCAACACATTGCTCCTGTTCGACGAATTCCTCGATGCCAAATTCTCCATCAAGCCAATTCCGAAAATACGACTTAAATCGCTCTTTCGTGCGATTAGCTTCATGCCATTTGTTGATGTATTTAGTAACGATTTTATGGATCTTTTCATCGAGACGTTTACGTTTTTCCACCGAGATGTTATAATTTTCACAAATGAATTCAATGGCTCTGTGAACATTGTCACTATGGCTTAATTTAATAAATAAATTAATAAATTAATAATGGTTCTATTATCCATGCTCACACTTGGTCTCAACCGTAAATTTGAATAACACTGAATAAGCAATTTGTTAGCTTAACAAACATATTTTTGCTTTAATAAGCTCTTTTTCACCAACTAATGTTTGTTGGGAATGATGACTTCTTTTTGTACAAAAGCTTAAGCCCTTTTTAAAAGTTGGTCATGAAATATTAGAAAATGTTCTTTAACAATATATTTCGACTATACCAACCGAATATAACTCCAAAAGTTGCAAAATAATTGTTGAAAAAGTTTGTTTCCAAGCCGGCTCTTGTACAATTTGAAATCTCCCATAATAACCGAAAATTTTCAAATCGCTTATATTTCCAATGGGGCAACTCTTCAGTACTTGTTAGAGTACACTCAAAACTTCATCCAGAGCTGAGAATTAGCCTGGGAATGTGCGAGACTCGAAAGTTTGTGATCAATAAAGTTAAATCTTCATTAATTTTCAATTTTTTTTTCTATTTTTATTTTTAATTTTTTTTGTCTCTATCAAATTTCCAAATGGATTTGATTTTCGGAAAGTTTATTAAATTACCTTTCCAACGATGTATAATGATGTGGTAGTTATATGATAAATAGTGGATGAAATTTTATTTGAGTGGTAGTGTATTTTTGCGGCAAAATTTGTACTTTTCTTACTCTTTTTTGACTTCGACATCCGATATCTCAGAAACTAAAACTGCTAGAAGCTTGAAACTTTCAGATTATCTTAGTTGAAATGTTTACTCTCGACCAAAAATAACGAAATAAGTTGAAGATGCTAATTTCAAATAACAGACTGTAGTGGTAATTTTTATACGATAGATGGAGTAGATGAAAGCATAGAGTTGATAGTTCCGTTAGAGTACGGCAGTGTGAAGATTGCATATAGATATTAGAATAGCGAGCTAGGACAACTTTTAAGGAAGGTGCAAATCGGTTTTTTCATCTCTCTTTACCAAACTCCTCCTTTGGAGAGGGATGGTGAGGGGTGTCCCCCCCCCCCCCCGCCACCACTGACATAACTCTGGATGGGAGCATACCATCAATTACTGTCAATGGTCGAAAGGTACAGTAGCAGCACCTACCCCACCCGTGTCCCCTCGAGATCGTCAAGTCGACGATGACAGGAGCACATATCGTGGTAGGGGTAAACAATAGTTGCAATTTCCAAACCTACGACTGGATGCCTTCCTTCAAATAACAAAAAATCGGTAGAACTGTTTCAAACACACAGTTGGTACTTGAGCGGGTCGGTTTTCATCTCTTTTTGCCAGTGGTGGCGGGGGGACACACCCCTCACCATCCCTCTCCAAAGGGGGAGTTTGGTAAAGAGAGATGAAAAAATCGATTTGTACCTTCCTTAAAAGTTGTCCTAGCTCGCTATTCTAATATCTATATGCAATCTTCACACTGCCGTACTCTAACGGAACTATCAACTCTATGCTTTCATCTACTCCATCTATCCTATAAAAATTACCACTACAGTCTGTTATTTGAAATTAGCATCTTCAACTATGTAAAATCGTTGACTTCACGTAGAAGTAATACTAAAAAACATATAGTCAAAAAACGAAAAAAGGATTAGTGAAAGTCGATTTTTTGATTTTTGACCGCTTGATATCTGATAGTGCGTATGCGAGACGCAATACGAATAAATAGTCTCATAGTCATAGCAGTCTCATGCGCAAGAGATTTGTAGCACTCTGTTTCTCTCTCTTCAGTTTTGTCGCATCTCACATTCTCATAATGTCAGTGTGTCGCACTGTTTTGTAAGCACAGCACATTTCCGGATGCATGCGTTTCATGAGAACGAGTATCATGCGACGTCGCGACATCGAAATAACAAACTCAACTGGAAGACCAACTCGTGTTCTTGATGTGGGAAAAGTGTTGTTTTGTTCTGAAAACGATGGAAAGCGACCTAGCTACTACACTCTTATGGAGAAGAGGTGTCAGATGGTTATGACCAACAAAGTTTTCCTAGCGGCAATTTTCGTTGATTAAAGGATTAACTTGAAAAATAGCCCATTCATAACGAACGAAGGAAGAGATGTGGCTTTGGTAAGCGAAATGTACACCGAGGGTCCACGGTACTAACACTAGGACTTTTAGGAAATCTGTTGTCGCAAATTGATTGTTTCAATTCAGCATCATGGTGGCTGATATGAACTATCCTGTGAGCACTAGGGTAAACGCTCCTATATTAGCGGTACGTTAGAAGCGTTAAGCGTTAATGTTGTCATATGTTTCAGGTTTTTTGACAGTTAGCCCATGCCATGTCAAAAAACCTGAAAACGTATGCATTGTGCGCCGGCCTTTAGGTTCCTATAGTTGTGTATGGAGACTCAATACACAACTATAGGAACCTAACGCTTCTTACGTATCGCAACTATAGGAGCGTTTACCCTAACACATCTGAATAATTCAGTTGCTGCCGTAGAAAGTTTTGTTGATTGACAGGTATTCAATACAATTCCTGAAGCAAGAAGCTTAGCAACAATCCGTAATACAGATATGACACAACTTTTTCCTAAATTTATTACATTAACCTTAATCCAGCATTTCGTACCTACGTACCTACTGTGGTGCAAAGTTGATCGGACAAAGGTCGTTTTCATACAAACTAGCCAAGTTTAACATGTTGTAAATGTGTTTTGTTATGATCAATTGAGCTGAAATTTTGACGCAAAACTACAAATATGTTGAATTTCACGTGTAAGAAATACCAAATTTTTTGAAGCACCTGCATAGCTGATCGGACAAAGGTCAATGGAAAAGCAAGTTTTGTGTCAAAATTTCAGCTCAATTGATCATAACAGAACACATTTACAACTTGTTAAACTTGGTTAATTTTTAAGTGTAGACTTGTGTGTATGTACTGCGTTGAAAATAATCCCTTAAAATAGTGTTCACTCAAGCCAGACAAAATACAAATATTAATCTTCAGAGTTCTATCATTACTAGCGTGTTGATATGATCGGTCAAGTCAGACCGAACTGTGATTTTTTTTTTTGATTTCGAGAAAAACGAATTTAAAGTGGGCTGTTTGTGTCTTATGTAATAGGACAAATCATTTGACCGTTTTCTCTTGCTGCTCTTATTTTTCAAATCTTGCTGAAAAAGTGAAATGTAGCTGAGGGAATTCTTGATCTTATGATATCATTAACTTATTTCTAGTTTTTATTTTGCTACTTAGTCCCTTCTGACTTAACGCCGACTATATGATCTTGTATAGTATAATGTAGTGCTGTTTTACATTCAAAATCGTCCATTTATATTTTTACTGGTCTTAGTCAAAGTATTCTGAGGGATTCTGAGTCTAATATTCTTCCACCAAATGGGCTGAAAGCTTCAGAGACTTCCAAAAAATGTATTTTAGAAGATTTCCACATAAGGACTTGTTGAAGGACACATAGTTCCACAGATATTACGGTATTATATGGGGTGCTAACATGCTAACGGTATCCCAACTACCGTAAGGTTGCCATCCACCGCTCACGTAGTCGTCCTTTACCTTCCTTTAGCATCCTTTCGACAAGCCATTGCGTCTTCCTAGGTTCATGAGTGGTGATCTTACGGTGATTCCAGTCTCTGGAACCATGTTTTGAGTCTGCTTGAATCTATGCTAGAAGATATATCTGGAACCATCTAAAAACTTCACCCCATTTCAAAAGACACATACGAGAAGGGCACACAAGCCTTCTATGAACAAACCCTTGCAGTCCCTTCTCTCGTCACCCGACAACATCACATATGATGGGAACGCAAGAGTCAAGGCATGCGCCCTGAGAGAGCGCATTGAGATGTTTCAACGAAACAGTCGCATGTGATTGAATACATGCGTCGCATTGAGAGAGCAATGCGATGAGACAAAAAAAATGAAACGCTTGAATTTGTTGAGAGCGTGTAGCTTGTCGCGCGCTTAGTTCTGGTCTCTCTTTTGTACAATTAATGTAGCACACCATGGATTTGAGAGTCATGCGACGCTCCGTCTCACAGCTCGCTGTCGCATTTGTGTACGCGTGAGATTTCCGGAAGCCTGCTTCCAATGATGAAGTTATTTTTACCCATCATCAATAACACATTCCACATTTTCGGTTTCCACAACCAACACTTGTGGCCCGCTGGTTGGATGTAGCGATAGCGAGTGTAGCAGTTCTAACGAAATTAGCTTCATACAATGTACAAATCCATTTCGTTGCGGAAAACAACGAATAAATTCACAGACCAAACAAGTGATTTCGTTGTAGAAACGAAATTTTATTTTCAGTGAATCCCCATCGTGATCCGTCTATGGAATCCCCATCGGGACCCGAATTCGGTTTCCCCATCGGGATCTGTATTCGGTTTCCCCATCAGGATCCTTTTACGGAATCCTAATCGAGATCCGTCTACGGAATCCCCATCGAGACCCATATTCGGTTTCCCGGTTACAATTATTTAATTTGGTAGTTGATGTGGGAGTGGGTTCCTTATATTTATATTTGCATTAAAAAACAAGATTATATTGTATACAAGAAACTGACATATAAAGCTTAGCTCCCATGAGCATGATCGAACTCATTATGAATACACATATAGGGGAAATGACGGCTTCGGCATGCCAGACTATTTTCGGCAACCCAAATTGAAACACTATTTTCACTGGATTTTCTTACGAAAACACTTCGCTGAATGCATGCAAACGATTCTTTATGCTTTCAGCTTCAATTTGACGATATTTTTACCACTGAGAAAAAGCAATCTAGCAGGGTTTTCTTGAAATGAAACACACGCTCTACAAATTGTAGCTGATTTCGAGTTGCCGATAATAGAACAGCAGATTTACATGCAGTTCAAATGGAACGGTTGCCGAAGAAAAACTGGTTGCCGACAATACTCGCTCTCACTAGAGAAGATTGGAGCTTTGTAAAAGCGTTTCAAAACAGTTTTTGACAATTCTTTCGACTGAAATTGTTAGAACAGCTGGCAGCAAAAGATTGTAAACAAACCAATACTGTATATGTGTGCGTTCCTTAGAGAAAAAGGCTATAGAAAGAAGGTCGCTGCTTAGGTTGCCGAGAATACGTAAATTCCCCTATATAATAGGGTATACCTAAAGAGCCTGAATTTATAAAGAGACGATATGTTATCCATTTGACAGGTCTTCTGCACGATTGGAATGACTTTTCCTATGACTTTGACAGACAATCGATTGTTCCAATTTTGACATGTCGCCACTCTATAAATTTAGGCTCTTTAGGTATACCCTAATCTTCGCTCTCATTATCTCCTGATATATCTCGCTCGAAGTGAATCAGTCAGTAGGGTACAAGAACCAAAACGGTAACAACACCAAAAACTTTTAGATTGACATAGGAAAAGTTTTGCTTCAGAAGAAGGCTATTTCACCGCAATTAGTATAGGTTTTCATCTCAAATACGAATTATTTTTAATTTAATATTTATATTCATGTAAGTATTTTGATAATATTCATAATTTTATTGTTCATTCACATCAGGATGTTAATATCAGGGATGTTGTCTTTGGCGGATGACTTTGGTGAAGGTTTCCTCCCAGACGCGGGGCTCCAACATGCAGCGGACATGGTCGAACGAAAGTGCATCTTGTTTTCACTGCTGGCCGACGATAAGCAGCGAAACCTGGTGCGACTAAATCTTACCAGTTTCTTATAGAAAAGAACGGAATCTGTAATCCCTCCAGCGATACAATGCAAACGCTATTGATAGCAACCAAAAGCATCTCTGCAGTGTGCACTAACGTCCCGATATGCTGGCGATCTGGAAAATGATCAATTTTTTTTTCAAAATCACCCTCGAAATATCTAGACAGTAGTTGCAATCTTACCTTCTGCGAAAACTTTACTCTTTCTCATTGCCTCCGGTACCGGAATCGGTTCCCCCGTCGTTGAATTTTGGAACTGACCGATGCCCAATCTATTTTCTGCTGTATAATTCTAATGTCTCATACTATATATCCTATTGGATGAGCTTTCCAAGAGGTGATTCTGACAATAACTTCTTTCGATGATTTCTAAGAATTCAAGGCATGCACACGCAAGGCAATATCTAGATAGAGCAGGAATTAGGGCGTAACAGTTTTTGTAAACAATGACTTCTATCGATGATTTCTAGTAATTCAAGGCACGTTCACGCAGACCAAACTAACCATCGGATAGGGAAAGTCTTTCCCTACTCGATGAGGATGCTGGTTTGCGTGGGCGAGCCTTAAATTTCTAGAAATCATCAAGAGAAGTCATTGCTTACAAAAGCTGTTAGGCCCTTATTCCAGCTCTATCTATATATAACCGTCGGGTAGAGGATGGTATTGTTGATTTGCGTTGGCGAGCCTTGACTTTTTAAATATCATCGTAAGAAGTCATTGTTTACAAAAGCTGTTACGCCCTAATTCCAGTTCTATCTAAAATTGCACAATTGTTTTTTTTTTAGTATGAACTTTTAAACGAGGGCCTGCAAGCTTGAGTATTTTTGACTCATCTTACCGACTTGAAAAGGTGTATTTTGCATTTTTTCGTGTTTATGTATTATTAAGTTTTATTTATTTTTGTATTAAAGTGTATTCAACTCCTTTTGAAAGGTATTTTTCGTGTGCAAAGTATTTTCGAGGTATTTTTGAGTATTTTTACTATGGTATTTAAGTTTCAACGTGTAAACATTTACATATGTTTTGTGTATTTTCCCAAGTGTGTATTTATAATTCAGCTGATTTATGAAGTTGATCGCCCCTTGCTTTTAAAATTATATGTTGATAGTGAAAGACAAACTTTCAAAGCAAAGAAAAACAATTCATTTTGAAAATATTCGTAGTTGAAACGACCAAATTCGAGAAACTTTTAATTTGAAATGTTGTGTTGTGAAAAAGTTAAAGTTAGTTGTATTTCATTTCTAGGTGGCCATTTGCCATGTTTGTCATCTATTTGACAAAACAAATTATGAATTAAAAATAACACTTGGCAATTCTTCAATAAAATTTACAGCCAAAAGCCATCAGTAAAATAATACTAATTTTTGCCGTTAAAGACACGGTAGATGATGTTGCAACGTACATTAATGGTACAAGTTTACTTTGTAGCAACTCCATGGTTCCATGTTTTGCTTCTTTTATTAATTTGTACCGTTCGACCAAGTTGTTGGAAAATTGTTCGTCTTGGCAATCTTTGTTCAGCTGCTTAATCTTCGGAATGTCATGCAACAGCAATTGTTCCAAGTCAAACTGTGGATTACCAGCTAGACAAAGTGTCTTCATATGGTTTAGCTGGTTGACGTTCGGTTTAAAAACCACCAGCCGGTTATGTCGTAGATTAAGGTACTTTAGTTCAGTGGTCCACTGAAGGGCATCAGCTTCCAATAGTTCTATGTGATTGTGTTCTAGGTTTAGTTCTATCAGATTTGGTAATCCTGTCAGGGTCATATTGTCAAGCCGTACAAACCGGCAGTGTCTGCAGCTGAGCTTCCTTAGTGATGTGCTCAGAAGGAATGGACCATGGGCGCTATTTGATAGATGGCCGTTCCAGTCTAAGTGGAGGACTTCTAACTGGGAATGGTTTTGAAATGCATTTGCAACGATCAATTCAAGATTGTTGTGTGAGAGGCTCAGAAATGTTAAGGTTGGGTTATTTTTGAACAATAAATGGGAATGAATGGATTGAACTTGGTTGCCCTGCAGATGCAGGGTTTCTAGATTTGGTAGTTCTTTGAATGTAGCCTCGTATAATGTTGTGATTGAACAATTCTTTAAAGATATTAGTTCAACAGAAGAACTTCTAAGAAATATCGTATCCTGTTGAAATTCAAACGAACGGTTATCATCAAATAAAACATTCGTCACATTTCTATCATCTACTAGGTAATCTGGTTCTATGTATACAATTTCTCTATTCGATAGGTCTACTGTTAATCCATCACTACTACGAAGATGGATGGGAGTTTTCTTATATACTGCTTTTCCAGTAGTAGTCGGTAGATAGTTTTCAAACTCATGCAAAGGATTATCATCATCCAAACAACTTCGGCGGAGTCCTCTTATTTCATAATCAGTTTGATCACACGGTTGAAGTGGATTCCTGTCCATGCATAGCTGCTCCAACCTGTTCATAGGAAGTCCTAGTAGTATTGTGGGGACCTTTTCGATTGAATTATCGTCCAGCAAGATAATTTTTATATCTGGATTCTGCTGAAATCCATCCTCATTTATCCGAGCAATCCTATTATTTCTCACGTTGATAGATTCCAGCATCGGTAAGTGAGATGTATCCAGCGTGCCATTCAAACTACATTCTGCAGCGTTGAGATCTACCAGTGATGTCGATGTAAGGTTCAATCGTTGCAAGGGTTTATTACCGTTGATTGTCAACCTCTTAATATATTTTGCCAGCATCAAAGCATCATCGTCGATCCTGTCTATTACGTTGTACGACAGATACAGCGCGGAAAGTCTTGGCATGTTGGTCAGCGTTTTCTGAACGAGAAAGGTAGTGTGGCAGTAATTGCAAAATAATTGCATCAATCTTGGAGATTGCAAGTCCACCTTGTTCAAATCAAATTGCTCGTTCCTGCTTAGATACAGTATGTTTAGCGCAGGCATGTGCCGAATTGTGGCTTCCGGATTGAATGTAGAAAGTTGATTGCCAACCAGACTGACCTTTTTCAATAGCGTATTGTACTTGAATGCATCTGGATGTATGTACTGGAGGGTGTTATTATTTACAATAAGAGAAGTAAGTTCTGGTAGCTGCGACAAGGATATCTGGTAGATAGAATGTATCCCACAATTGTTGCATACGTAATGTGTCAGACAGTCGTGTATCAGCAGAACCTGGTCAACTGGAAATTCAAATTTCGTTTGGTTGCTCATATCCAACGTCGAGAGTTTCGGATATGCGGCATACATTGTCTCGTTGACTATAGGATGTTTCGTCTCTATGGTGATGATGTGAGGAAAGATGATGACAGAAGTGGTGCTTCCAAAGATCCTTAACCAGATAATGATGGACAGAATGAAGCGTACCATTGTCTGTAACGAAATGCAAACAAGCTGTCAATTTTGGATTTGTGATCAATATCCAATATTTCTCGATAACTTTTTCAAAGGGACGTATCAGCTTTTGTAAACAATGCATTTGATCGTCGATTTGGCGTAACTGGTAGTTCGCCCACGCATGCTAATACTACCATCAGATAGGGGAAATTTTCCCCCAGCCTGCTAGTGGTGTTAGTGAGCGTGTGCGAGTTACCAGTTACGCCCAATCGACGATCAAATGCATTGTTTACAAAAGCTGATACGGCCCTATGAAAAAGTTATCGAGATTTTCTTAAATAAATGGTTATAATCCCTGACCTTCACATGTGCAATATGGATTAAAGAATCTTCACAGAAAATTTCAAGTTATTCGGTATCATGGAGCAGTTCCACGCCAAATGACAAATCGATCAAAATCAACCTTCTTCGATATGCGTGAAACTTTGCATAATCATCGCGTCACTTTTCAATAGGTCCACTCTACATTAATCGATTCTCTTCATTGACTTTCTCTTTGGATCGCCACGGCCGTGTAAACATATTTCGGATAATTTCGACATACACATCGATGGAAGCAGCAACAATCCATACCGCCGAGTTGTTTACATAAGAGAGAGTCGATTAAGAGAATCGATCAATATAGATTGGTCTATTTTAAAAGTTTCGCGAGATATGTTTATTATAGGCTATTATTCACATTTGTGCTGAAATTCGGATATTTTGGATCTTGTGTTTTCTATTTGACATTTTTTTTTAATTTTACTTACGTATTGGGGTCAATATGATCCGACTCAACTTTCAAAACGGAATAACCTTTTAAGGGCCACCCACATTAGATACGGATCTGACGCGTTGCGGCAAAGTGACAGCTAAATCTATTGTCTAAATGTCAAATTTACGTCAACGCAATGCAAACGCATCTTATGTGGGTGGCCCTTTACGGTGAGCATCTAACATCATGATGAGCATCAATGTACATTTCTACATTGAAATAATTTTATCTGGACGTTTCTATAGTAATTTTTTACAAATAATGTGTTAAAGGGTCATATTAACCCGGAATTTAAATTGTTTTTGGATAAGTTTTTCGCAATCAAATGTACATGTCTTTATCGTCAAATTATTTGCCAAAGTCTGAATTTTGAGCTTCTGGTATATATGATCGATCTTGACATGATTGACCACAAGGAATCGATGCCGAATAAAGTCAGGTTTAGTCACAGTACCGGTATGTTGGTCACTCAAGGGCCAGCCCGTGTTATGTCTCTAAACAGCTGAAATGTTCAGAGAGTGGTTAAACCATAAAAAAACACGAAAATATGAACTTTCATTTTTTAGTGGTAATCTAGTTGATACGTTGCATAAACTGCCTGACCAGTTGCACGTCAAATAGAAAAATAATATATAAAGATTTGACTCGACCATCTTCGATTGGCTGGAAAATTTGCACAATTGTTTGTTATGGGCAATGATTCACATTGTTGCAAAAGTTCGGTCCTTTTGGATCTTTTTTTCCAAAACAGGCAGCAGTCTCCGCTGTAGCCAGGTGGGCCAGCGCGGTAGGTTTCCAGTTTTTGGCCACGAAAAGCGTCAGGTGCCACGTTTGTCCATCCCGGCAGCGTGTCAGCGGGCCACCTATTAATGTTCAAAGCCAGCCCATACCACTGAAGAAGACGGTCCGTATTCTGGGGGTTCTTGTTGACCGGTCCCTCAGCTTCGAGCAGCACTTTAAGGCAATCAAGAACAACTGCTGCAGTAGGATCAACTTGATCCGCACTATCTCTCGCCCCCACCGGTCTAACAATCGTGACACTCGTTTCCGGGTTGCAAGAGCCGTCATCGATAGTCGCCTTTTGTACGGTCTTGAGATGACGTGCATCGCCACCGAAAAGCTCGTGCAGATACTAACACCAACTTTTAACACCTACGTTCGGATTGTCTCCGGTCTTCTGCCGTCAACGCCCGCCGATGCCACATGCATCGAAGCGGGTATTCTGCCCTTCCGCCATCGTATATCCGCAGCAATTGCAACGAAAGCCGCTGCCTTTACCGCAATGACCTCCGGAAATGACAGGATTTTTCTCCTCGATGAGGGGAACAGACTCCTCCGCATGACTGCCAATTCGGAGCTCCCCCCAGTGGCCAAGGTCCACTGGTACGGAGACAAAAGTTGGCGCATACCTCCACCAAAAATCGATAGTCGGATAAAAAGCACGTTCAAGGCTGGAGAACTCTGCAGCGCTGAAGAGAACAATAGCCGAACTGCTAGGCTCGGACTACCCAACCCATGCCCACATATACACAGACGGATTGCTTTCCCGAGCCGGGGTCGGAATTGGAGTAGCCGGAATTTCAGCACCGATTAGTAGCAATGCTCGGTTTTCCGAAGCTGCGGCCATCTTTGTTGCCGTTACAACACCCTCGGACCGGCCCATACTGGTGCTATCCGATTAGTACAGCGTGAAACGGTCGAGATTATCTTCAACAGCTTGGTTAGCTATCTGCAGCAGCGAAAGCTTGGTTTTAGTGTTTTTTTTTTTAAATCAGAGATGGACCTGTTTATGTCGCCAGTAGTTTCAGGATTGTGGTATTTGGATGGACAGTGGGACAAATTCGCTTCGGCAATATCAAGTTTACACTTCAAGCCAGATGATCGTGAAACGTTCCGTGTTATTTACCATAGGACCCAGAAGAATAAGGCAGTTCAAAAAATGAAAAATCTAGAATTAGTCCAGCATTTCGAAAGACTGGATCACCTCGAAACGAAATCTTTTCTTCGATCTGAGGAATGGAAAACGGTGCTCAGCAAAATCAGTTCGCTGAAAAAATCGATTGCAGGCTACATTCCATCATCTCGGCAGAGCCAGGTTGTCCCGAAATGAGGTCTTGTCAACTATTGCATGGCGTGATATTTGCTCTCTTCAGACCTTCGAACCCGATCTTACCACTGTAAGTTTGCATAAATTTCTGTACTTCGGTTTGGTACAAAAATTGACATTGCACACTGGGCCAGAAATGCAATCTAGCGGAGTAAAATTAATAACTCCAAAACGAAGCATTTCCGCGACTTGGTGTCTTGGGTAAAATTTTTCATCATAATAAGGAACATCTATTGACAAAAACAAATGGTTCAAAACTCTTCCACAAAGATGACGCCACAATCTAATTTCTTTCTCTGAGGTTTTGGAGACTTGATGTCTTGGACAAAGTTGTTTGCCTTGACAAAATAAACAACTCTTTTGAAGACGTAAAATTTCCCCAGCCTACTACTGGTTTCGAGTGATATGTAGTTAAAGAAAAAAATGTCGAAAATATGTTTTTTTTTTCTTTTTGTTTCGGTTTTTTTTACTGACAACCATACAATGTCATATTTTTTTCTTATGCAAATGCATTAAATAAATAATTTTTGTGAAGAAAGATACTGGTTTAAGCTTCAAATTTTAATGATATTGTTGAAAAACCAAAAAAAAAACTACAATTTTTGAACTTTAATATCTCCCAAAGCGCAAAAAAACGCAACCTGACATTTTCAGAAAAAAATAAGCAATATTCGATAAACAAAATATCAAAATTTGAGAGAAGTATATTTTGCATTTTAGTGGAGCATGTATTTTTTTTCCTATAACTTGCATTAATTGAAATGACGTTTTGTCGTCACAAAGTTGTTAATCTAGATAAAATAAACAACTCTTTTCAAGATTTTTTTTTAATATCTTTATTAAGGAGACTTTCAGCCGTTGGCTGGCTCGTCTCCGTCTTTTCAAGAAGTCAAAACTCCACAGCCTACTGTTTTCGAGTTGTATGCATTTAAACAATATATATAAAATTAAAACACGTTTTTTTCACATATTTTTATGTCGCACCACAAAAATACGTATGGGTATGTCACGATAGGAGCACGCCACAGTGGAAATCCCGAGCCATAGTTCAAACACTTATCCCAAATTAAAATGAAGCACATGCAAGATAAGTTACAATACCATGTACAAAAATGATGTTTAACATTGTTTCCTGAGTAATAATTCAATGAAAACAACAATGAAAGCTTGTCACGCAAATAGAAGGAGTACCGTTGGGTACTTTCTGAAATATTTCAATAGTATAATTCCCTTGCAAACCCAAATAAATCTATCTGCGTAAAAATAAATAAAATAAGAGTGATTTGCGGCAAAACCCGCCAGTATCGCACCCAACGTTAGTGCCTATACGTAAGCGTACTACGACGCGGCTCTCAATTAAAGGAGTAACAAGTGTGACTAGATCTTTGGTTCTCTCATGCAGTGGTTTATCAGAGACGGGAAGCTTAATCCCCATTGCCTGCCCATGACACCATTCCATCGCGGCATGAGCCAGCAACGCCGACCATAAACCTACCGTCTCCAACACTCCACTATAAAGCATGAAATTAGGCCCACCCACCAACA